ACCCGACCACAAGCACCCAGCCTGGGAGACAAATGAAAAGAAGTGGGAGACAAATGACAAGCACTGGGAGACAAATGATAAGAAGTGGGAGACAAATGAAAAGACAAATGAAAGGAAGTGGGAGACAAACGAAAGGAAGTGGGAGACAAGCCAGCCGCAAACCCGCGACCACAAGCACCCAGCCTGGGAGACAATGAAAAGAACTAGGAGACAAATGAAAAGAAGTGGGAAAGGAAGTGGGAGACAAGCCGGCCGGGAACCTGACCACAAGCACCGAGCCTGGGAGACAAATGAAAGGAAAGGAGACACGTGAAAAGAAGTAGGAGACAAATGAAAGGAAGTGCGAGACAAGCCAGCCGGGAACCCGACCACAAGCACCCAGCCTGGGAGACCAAAAATGAAAAGAACTGGGAGACAAATGAAAAGAACTGGGAGACAAATGAAAGAAGTGGGAGACAAATGAAAGCACGTGGGAGACAAGCCAGCCGCAAACCCGACCACAAGACCCAGCCGGACAAATGAAAAGAAGTGCGAGACAAATGAAAGGAAGTGGGAGACAAGCCAGCCGGGAACCGGACCACAAGCACCCAGCCTGGGAGACAAATGAAAAGAAGTGGGAGATATGACAGGAAGTGGGAGACAAGCCAGCACCACAAGCACCCACCCTGGCAGACAAATGAAAAGAAGTGGGAGACAAATAAAAGGAAGTGGGAGACAAGCCAGCCGGAAACCCGACCACAAGCACCCAGCCTGGGAGACAAATTAAAAGAACTGGGAGACAAATGAAAAGAAGTGGGAGACATATGAAAGGAAGTGGGAGACAAGCCAGCCGGGAACCCGACCACAAGCACCCAGACAAATGAAAGGAAGTGGGAGACAAGCCAGCTGGGAACCCGACCACAAGCACCCAGCCTGGGAGACAAATGAAAAGAACTGGAAGACAAATGAAAAGAAGTGGGAGACAAATGAAAGGAAGTGGGAGACAAGCCAGCCGGGAACCCGACCACAAGCACCCAGCCTGGGAGACAAATGAAAAGAACTGGGAGACAAATGAAAAGAAGTGGGAGACAAATGAAAGGAAGTGGGAGACAAGCCAGCCGCGAACCCGACCACAAGCACCGAGCTTGGGAGACAAATGAAAAGAACTGGGAGACAAATAAAAGGAAGTGGGAGACAAGCCGGCCGGGAACCCGACCAGACCATCCAGCACCAAGGCGACCATTCTTTAAAGCATTGAGAACCCCTAACAGTAAACTGTTTGGGGAAAAAATAACAACAATTTACAAAGAATTGATAATAAGAAGGCAACGGCCCCTTTGGGAAGGCTCTTTTAGAGGAAGCCTTATTAAGAGGGGGGCCTTCCTTGTAATCTGTTCGTTTCAATCTTCGTATCCAAAGTGTCAATCAAGCCTTTGCCTCCTCTGTCAGAGCCCTGCCTGGCCTGTTTCTTCTGCTTTGCTGATGCACTAATGATGTCCATGTCTTTCCCATGTTCCTCATTTCTCTCCGTAACGTAAACTCTCTTCACTTCTCTCCCTTTCCGGAAGTTACATAATGCGATGGACTGCGGCTCGGAATGGCAGAGCTTGTACAAAAAGAAATTGACAAAAATGCTGGGAAGTACAGAACCAGGACTTGGGTATTTCAGGCTGCCATTTTCCAGATTTAACTGAAACCATTTCCTTGATGCACTTGTTCTTGCAATGCCATTTGTGAAGGTGATATGGCGTTCAGGTGAATTTTAGAATGGCATTCAATGGGCTCCATGTTTGAAGAGGAAAAGACTTTGATTGCCTTTGGAGCAGTTGTGCCTTCCTATGAGCAGAAAAAAATGCCCTGCCTGCAGATGCCCAAGAGGAGGCGTGACAAGTCAGCAGAAGACGGAAGCTAACAACAAAAGGAGCAAAAATTGGTCGTCTAGGGCCAGGGAAAGGAGTGGGACGGGTTGAGAAGTAGATATTGGCTAATTACTGGGTGGGGTTCCGGTCAAACCTTTTGAGCTAACCCAAAAATTCAACACGCTCGAAACAGTCTAGAAGTGTGCCTTAGCACAGTGAACCCTCCCAATGCACCAAATGGCTAGAACGTGAATTGCCAAACTTCCAAACACGCTTTGATCTTTGTGTCTCCGAAACCTGGTCGAACGGCACATAACAGCACCTGTGGAGGATTACCGGCCATCCGTTTCCCAACCTTCTTGAGAAGCACGAACAAATCGCTAGTTCAGGTGATGGTAAGCCCGAAGGGCGAAAAAACAAAAGAACACGCCCCCAACGGTCTCGGACAACCTCGACATGGTCACATGGTCCTTGGACCCTGCTCGAGTTCTGAGTCAACTCCAGATGGCTGTGGCATGGAGTCTTCAGATGCCATGAAATATACCGTATTCAAGGAAACCCTGTCCATGTGATGAATCATTTGGAAGGCCAACACTACGGATGTGCGAAGTGACAGATCCAAATGATCTCTTGATATCACAAAACACCCTCAGCCCCACAAGTTGCAATGTTTTCATCCAAGGAAGGTTGGCAAATCCTGACCTTCGATTCGAGTCAGGATCGCCATCAAAATCATTGCCACTTCAAAGGTGAACTGTATAGAAATACATCGTTCAGTGTCTGAAGCCATGATGAACCTTGTGGATCTTTTTGGTTCTGGAAAGAGTTAAGTTTGTCTTTCTATCAAGCCGATCAGTTGCCTCCTACTCTTCATTGAAACCTGCCACTCTTACTGATGTGTCTGAAAAGTTATCTAGTGTTCTTACGTTTTGTTTCAGATTCAAAGCAGCGAAACAAAAGCAGCAAACTGCGAGCGCCGTTTTCAAACGTCATTTTAAAGGTGCAGAAACTTGAAATTGGATTTTACTCTACAGTCTACAGGTGGAAACCCAATACAATCAGCCGCTTAAATTCATCCATGTGCCATGATTCTAGTAAGTCGCAAACTCAAGCCTCGGCAGCAATGGCCTTTCCATCAATGAGTTTCGTCTCCACTGGAGCGGACACTCTTCGTGCCTCTGCACTTGTGCATAAAATGGAACGGAGCACTTACTAAAAGTACATAACAGCCTTTTTCTTGGTTTTTTCAATCCAATTCTACCCAAAAGCACTACTTAAGTTCTCGAGTTTGTGATAAGCCTGTCACTTCCACCATGTCACAGCCTATGCCCAACGTCGAGGAATATGAGAAACAGATCGAACTAACTAATTCAGATGTTGTTCCATAATAACTAACATGACATTCATGTTCTGTTTGCAGGAACATCACTGGAAATCAAGAAATTCCAACCATATGGCTTGCTGTCTGCATCGGTACACCCTGAACAGTTTCCCATGCCTCGGTTTTACCTCTCAGCAGCTTTTGTAGGCCCAAAGCAACCACAGCTCCGCACGCTGAAGCCGCAATAACTCTGGCCATGGTTTGACAAGAAACAAAAACGCCAAAAAATGTGCATTAATCAAAAAGGGGCATCAGCCACTATCGAGGACGTTGGACGTCTTCTGATTGTGGGGTCTATTTTTTGTTAGTGTTTCATGAAAGTTACATAATTTTTGTGAAAGCGGTTTCTGAATTGGCCTGCGGCCATTGGCAACGCATCCACATGCAAAGGCCTTGACGCAAAACGGCTGGTCCATGTTGCTGGCAAGTCACACAAACAATAAAATCGTGTGTCACGTGTTCCATTTGCAACAGCACGTCTGTAGCAAAAGGTGTCACTGTTTCGCGCGTTGCGTTGAAATTGTTTTTCACTTGATGAAGAATTTTTGCTGCCGACATGATTTGCACAACGCAACCTGCAAGCTTTCCACCAGTATACGCGCCCCCAGCTTCAACCTGTGATATAGCACAGCATCAAAGCAAACACAATTTTTTGCCCTTTGTTGAGCTGGGCGACAACCACAATTGGCAAGTCCATGTCGTTGATTCGTTGATAATCCAGAGACAAGACTACGTTTTTTGATGTTACACATTACACATTTGCCACGTTTCCTCTGATTTCATTTAAAGAAACTGGATACATCACGCACCTTTTCTCTTACGAGTGCATGGGGTCGCAAGTGTGGTCGCAGGCCACAGGGCTGGCCACTCGGAGGCTCTGCTCGAAGTGTTTGCTCAAAAAGTTTCAAAGTCACTCAGTGAAAGAGGCGCTCCAAACATCAATGGCTGGATGGGTGGGTCAAAGACAAAGCGCGCCCACCCACCCTTCCTTTTGAACCATGTCAAGTTTCCGTCTGATTTCATTTTAAGAAACTGAATATCTTATTCCTATTGCGCCCTGTAGTTGCTAGTTAAGTGGCTTACCT